AGCATTTTTACCTTTTCCAGTATAACATTCAGTTTAGGGGCAGGTCTTACATTAAATTATTATATATAATAAGAAATTTTTTTCAATGTTGAAATTTTTGAAGACTAACAATCTCCACTTCCTCAGCTTAAAACCAACAACAGTATTTCCTTCCCCTTTGAAAAAAAATAGAGCTTTTATTTATTTGTTTGTTTATTATTTTGTCCCTTTTTTGAGACAGGGTCTCCCTGTAGCCCCAGCTGTCCTGGATTCACCATGGAGATCAGGCTGGCCTCGAACTCACAGAGATCCGCCTGCCTCTGCCTCCTGAATGCTGGGATTAAAGGCGTGTGCTACCACGCCCAGCTAAGAGGTTCTTTAAATATATATATATATATATATATATATCAGACTTGACATTAATAGAGTCTCAGTCCAGAGGAAAATTTTATGCAGATCAGGTTATTTTCCATAGTTTTAACGTCTCTCTCTGCAATTATGATACCCAGAGAAAGACACAAGATCACTTATTGAGATTGTTTTGTTTCCTTTTGTTTAAGGCAGTCACTTACACTATTTTTATAATCAAATAAGTCTTAAAGTCCTTAGTATATAAGTCTCAGCATTAATATCATCAACTTATGATGTTTGAAGTACAGTTAAGGTTTTATCTGTCCCCTGCCCTCATCATCTATTACTTTGCTGTCTTTCATTAGTTGTAACAGGGAGGAAAGTGAAGGATTAGTGAGGACGAACATATATCCTCAGTATTACCTCTTGTCTTTTATAGAACACATGAAGGTCAATAATATTATTTGACTTAAAATTTACCCAAGCTAGAATTAGGACAGCTTTGCAGCCTGATAATGTCGCTGAGGAAAAAGGTTGAATGACAGCGTGGCAGTGATCATAAGGCAGCAGAAGCAAGAGAATGAGGGCCATTTTGAGCTGAGTGCACCTTTCACTGACCAGACTGCAACTGTGTTGAATTGGGATCCTTTCCTTTATAGGTCTGTTTATATCTGGAATGCCCCTTGTATTTCTCAATCTGCTAAGGAAATATTTATATTTAACAGTAGTTTGTGAACTACTACAAGATTACTACTACAAGATTAATAGAGACTTGTTTAATGAAGAAAAATATGGAATCATGTTTAAGAAAAATATTTGCAGCATGCTGCCTGATGCTTGGTAAATAATTTCAGGTTTAATGAAAAAAAAGTGAGGTTGTGAAGACATGTGTTTATTTTTGTCTAGTTAATGGAAAATTAAAAGTTGAAAAGGGAGCAAACCTAAACTGCAAACATGTAACATGATATTTTGAGAAGCAGTGATAAATTGAAATGTAATAGCAAAGAAAATCCATTTCTAAATATTATTGTGAAAAGCAATTTTAAACTCATTTGTAGAATTTATTCTTGTTAGTAGACTTGTGACAAGCCTTAGCATCCTGTTGTATTTATTTATATAGGAAAGCAGACCATTGTGGGACTTTTGGTTTTTGACTGAGCTACTGTTTTCCATTATGTAATGCTAGTGTAACCATATTACATTATTTCTGATTTCTTTATTGTTATTATTCCATGTTTAACAAGTGAAGCATAGAAGCAGCACTTAGCAAGAATCACAAGACCATGGTTCTCAAGCTCATTCTGCCATTTAACAGGTTGCCAGTTTGCTTACTTGGGCCTTGGTTTTCTTTTTAAAAAATATTTTATTATTTTTATTTTATTTTGTGTGTATGAGTTTATTGCCTGCATGTATATAACTGTACCTATGTCGTGCAATGCCCATGGATCCCCTGGAACTGGAGTTTCAGAAGGTGGTTAGCTGCTATGTGCATGCTGGGAACAGAACCCATGTCCTCTACAAGAGCAGCTAGTGCTCTTAAGCACTGAGCCATCCCAATTTTCTTATCTGTAATATTTGTATATTCTCTCAAGCCCCTTTTCTAATACATCTTATTTTTAATATTTTAAAAGATTTTAATTAAAAAAATTTTAATTATGTGTATATGTGTGTGGGTATATGCATGAGTGTATAGGTGCCTGCAGAAGCCAGAAGCATCAGATCCCCAAGAAGCTGGTGTTACAAGTGTTTGTAAGCTGCCTAATGTGGTTGTTGGGACTTGAATTCAGGTCCTGGAAGAGTAGTACATGCTCTTAACTGCTGAGCCATCTCTTCTGCCCCCTTTTCTAATATTTTTGATAGCTTATATGTAGTAATTTTGGCTTTGGTAGGAAGTAAGGAGATAAAGTTCATAGAATGTTTTTACAGTGTTTTAGATCTATTTTCAAAATGATGAGAAAGTCAGAAATTGTTACTAGGGCATTAAGAACTTGGATGGAAGTCAATTTGTGGTATGGGTTTTATTGTCGACATGTTTATAGTATGTGCTGTCCATAATATGTGCATTTTAGGACAGCCACCTGCCCTGTAATGGGAGAAGCCCCTGTCATCAAAGGTCTTATGAAAAAGGACACAAAAAGAGAATTTTAGTGGAAGAGTTCTCCAATTTTTGGAAAAAAAAATCTATAAAATATTTGCCAACAAGCCTTGAACTGTATGTCCTTTTTAAAAAATTTGGGTATTGTCTTTTCCTGTGGTTGTGAGAAAATACCCTGGCAAAAAAGCAACTCAAGGGAGAAAAGGTTTATTTCAGCACACAGTTCAAGGACACAGTATGCATCATAGCCAGAAAGTCAAAGCAGCAGGAACTGGAAGCAGCAGGTCACATTGCATCCATCATCAGTAAGCAGAGAGCAGGAATACCTGGGCTCAGCTAGCTACCTTCTCTTTCTACACCAGGGGAAAGGTGCTGCCCACTTTTAGTGTGGATCTTCCCACAAGAATTAACCTAATCAAGATGCTCCCGCACAGGCAATTCTAGATACTAATTTAATCTAGATAACCCCTCACAGATGTGCCTGCAGGCTTGTCTCCTAGATGATTTCAGATCCTGTCAAATTGGCAATTAGCTTTAACCACCACAGGTATAGTTGACTGTTTTGTGAAATGAAGTGCTTCATTTATTCCATAGATATTTTATAAAGCACTAGTTTCAGTCTATACACCCTTCTTGTTTAGAATTAAAGGCTAGAGCAGAAAATAAGATAAACTTGAACCATACCTTCTTGGAATTTAACTCAACAGTCAAGATATATACTATTTAAAAAACAAAAAAAACAGTGGGATGCCAAGCTAATCCTGGCCCTTGGGAGGACAGGCAGGTGGATCTCTGTGAGATCAAGGCCAGCCTGGTCTATGTAGTGAGTTCCAGACCAGCTGGCGTAACAGGGAGACTCTGGCTCAGAAAACAAACAAGCAGTGGTATGATGAAGTGGCCTCATAATAGAGGACATTCGGGGACCTGAGATCTGAGTGCTGGAAAGAAGTCAGGTAGAACCCAGCTTATTGAACTATGGACTGCATAGGAGTTGCAAAAAAAAAAAAAAAAAAACAGTAAAAGATTTCTGAACAGACAGTGATCAAAATTAAGTTAGAATTACATGTACAATGAATCTAAGGTTTCTGGCAGTACTTGAGCATTCTACATTGTACAACTGCCCTGCAGCCATGGTTTTGAATATAGAGCACATGCACTTTGTGCTGTGCCTGCTGTCATGCATCTTGTGCCAAAGGATGCTGCCTGAAATGTTTTATCTCAGATTAAAGACATTGTCTCTTTTTTTTGGTCTTTTTTGAGGCAGGGTCTCCCTGTAGCCCCAGCTGTCCTGTCACTCACTATGTAGACCACAGAGATCCCTGCCTCTGCCTCCCAAGTGCTGGGATTAAAGGCGTGCGCCACCACGCCCTGTGACATTGTCTTTTATAAACTGTATTGTTTTTACTGTACATACAAAGTTTCCTGCTCTTGTAGAAACATGGTAATTTAATTATGGAAAACAAAGACAGTGTTTTCTTGCCATTATTCCTTAGTATGTTTATCAAATTCATGTATCCTTGGATTGTATTGTGTTAGAATGTTTGATTTTAAAATTTGTGTTTGAGTTGTTGACATATCGCTAGAAATTGTTAAATCAAGTTTGACTTGCTAATGTTAGGATAGAACTTCCAACAATTTCTGAAATTGCCCTACACATACTTCTGCGATTTTATAATATATATTTTTATGAAACAGTGCTTTCAGCATTTATGATTGTAAAATCAAATTATCAGTAAACTGAAACATGTTAGAGATGCTGTATATTTTGTATCAAATGGTCAACCAAGATTTTTATGTATAAAAACAAGCACATCCATTTTACTAGTATACAAATTTGCTTTCATCTTTTATAAATGGTAAATTTAAATGTATGCCAAATAATTGTTTTAAAATAATTATGACTTATTCTTATTAAATGTTTGATCTGTATATTTATTTTTTACTATATACCCAGGATCATATAAAAATTTCTCAGTTGAAAAGGAATTCTAAGTGGAAAAAGCTTAAGAAACCCTGAACTAGACAAAGACCAGGCAAATAAAAGTCAGATAAGCCACCTTGAATGGATAAAGGGACAGAAGAGAGTGCAGTGCAAGGACAGGAGCCAGCTGGGGAAGGAAAGAGTGCTGAGATAATTGTAGAATGATAATCATTTAAGGTATTGGTTGTGGTAAGGAGTTGGGATTTTATTCCAAGTCCCGTGGGAAAGTATTTAAAATTTAAGCAGGGAACATAACTTCGTGCAGTAAACATTCTTTGAAGTCACTCTTTTTATGAAAACAAATTAAGAATAAGAATGGAAGCCATTGGATAGTAGTCAGGAGACAATGATCTTGTTATAGATAGGGCTATAGCATTCAGTGAAGATAAAAGAAATGCACAGGGTTGGTTTCCAGATAGGGCAGACAAAACTTGGAATTGAACTGTATATTTATGAGAAGGAAAGAAAACAGTTCCAAGTAAACGCTTTCTTGGAAACAGTTAAACATATATGTGTTTAAAACAGTATGTAATATAAATATTCTACGTGTTTTCCTGAAATGTTTGTCATTTGTATTTATTTAACCCTTTTTAGGCTTATGCATCTGGATGTGACATCGTAATACTGGGAAGTGACTTTGAAAGATTACAGATAATCCCAGGCGCTAAGCATGGAAATATTCAAGTGGGATGTGTAGACTGTTCAATGCAGCAAGGCAAGGTTTGTAATCTTGTGTTAATATACAGGTTTGTTTTGAATGCGGTTTTGTCACAATAATCTCTGAAGTATGTATTTCCTATTCAATTAGGAACTTCATTTCAAGGAGAGCTAAATTTCTTTGGTTGTCTAAGATGCATTTTGGAGAATGTTAGAAATTCTAGTGTTTCTTTTTTTTTAAGATTTATTTTTATTTTATGAGATGTGTATGTACCGGAATGTGCGTGCATGTACCCAGGGAGGCCAGAAGAGAGTTAGATTCCTTGGAGTTACATGTTGTCAGCCACCTGATGTGTGCTGGGAACTGAACCTGGGTTCAAGAGAAATATGCAGTCTCCAACCACATTTTTGTTTTTTTGAGACAAGGTCTTACACTGTAGCTCAGCCTGGCCTGGAGGTCTCACTGTGCAGTCCACGTGGGCCATGAACTCACAGCAATCCTCCAGTCTCTGCCTCTTGAATGCTGAGATTGTAGATGTGAGCCATCACACCCAATTTAGGAATTTTCTTTCCGTATAATTTTAAGATGTAGCACAATCTTCTTTACTAGTTGAGATAGGAACACAATACTACCTGTAAATGAGTCTAAGGCTTACTTTTGGCAGTGTGAAACAAAACCACACAAAACAAAAGCCTCCCAAGAGAAAAGCTGACTTAAAGGAAAGGAGTAACATTGTCTTCAAACTTTTTTCAAATTGTTTTCTAAGGAAAAACATCTATTTGTATATGAAAAATAAAAGTAGTAACCTAAAAAGTAAAATAGCAACAGCAAATATAAAAGAAAGTGCATGTAGTTCTTGTCGATCATTGTAAATAGACTTCTATGTAGTACCCTACTGGAAGTCAACTAGCAGGTGGCATGTATAGCTTAAAATAGCACTTTGCAAATGCACTTTTTCTACCAGAGCTTTCTTCTTCCCTTTGGTGGTGGTGGTATTAAATCCAAGGCCTTGGGTGTGCTAAGAACATGTACTACCACTGTGCTATACCCCAGCTCTACAAGAACATTTTGTGTTAAGAATGAAAATCATTATTAATTCATGGGCCCAGTCTTTGCCTTTTGTTCATTTGTTTTGTTGAAACAAGAGTCTTGTAATAGCTCGTGACGACCTTGAACTTGCCTATGTAATCAAAACTAGCTTTGAACTTTTCATCCTTTTGCCTCTGTCTCCTGAATGATGAGATTGCAGGTGTGTGCCACGCCACCTGGCTGTTTTTGAATTTATCTGAATTTCTGTTCAATCTGCCGGTATACAGTTACTATTTGGGACCTAATGAAATTCTGATAAAAGGTGTTCTGTGGTTGCGGTCCTTACCCATGTGCTGTACTGCCCTTGTTTTTCTCACCCCAAAGCCCTTCTCATCATAGTTAGAGATATCTCTAAGCTATCTTTTTCTTGTTTAGGCTTTTATTATTATTATTATTTTTTAGACAGGGTCTTACTATGTAGCCTTGGCTAGTCTTGAATTCACTCTGCCTCCTGAGTGCTGGGATTAAAGGCGTGTGCCATAACACCTGGCAGTTTAGAACTTCTTAACAATACTATATGCATTCTATTATAGCATATTAAAACTCTATGAGACTTTTTATTTTCATTCTTTTAATGTTTGATCCTCTAGCTATGTAGTTCTATAGTCTTTTCTTTTGTATTAAAAATTTATGTGATTCAGACTCAGAGCTAGTTAATGTTGGAAATGTAATAGTTTTCAGTGAGAGCTTTTTTTAAAATTTATTTTTATTTTATGTATATGGGTATTTTGCCTGTGTGTATGTAAGTGCTCCCATGTTTGCAATACCCATGGAGGCCAGAAGAGCGTGTCAGATTCCCTGGAACTGGAGTTATAGACTGTTAGCTGCCATGTGGGTGCTGGGAACCAAACCTGGATCCTCTGCAAGAGCAGTCCAGCTCCACAATGACAGCTTTTTAGGAAGAGTCAGTAAACTATATGATGGTGTAGGTTAGGATGAAGAAGTCATTTGGTTTTATGATCATACTAATAAAGGGCAAATTTCTTTGTTTACAGGTAGCACTATTATCACAACCTTTCTTAAAAATATTCTGAAACCATGTGTGGTGGTATATGCCTGTAGTCCCAGCTGAGAGGCTGAGGCAAGAGGATCTCTTGTATAGGAGTTCTGAACTGTAGAGCACAGTACCCATCGGATACCAGCACTGGGTTTAGTATCACTATGATAACTTTGGAATGGGATGACTAAGTTGCCCAACGAGGGGTGAACTGGCCCATGAACATGTCCTTTAATAATCAGGAAGAAAATTTTTAGGTACTAGTACCTGGGACTACCTTTAAGAAAGAAAACACTGCTTGACATTATAGGCACTAGTATAACCACTAGATCATTCTGAGAAAATGCACATGCATTTCTCATGGTTTATCAGCTTCAAAACATTCTTGGAAAAGTTCACGTTGTTCACATTGGCATGAATCCTTGTATAACCTGACACAAACCTAGTCTTGTGTTCATTATTCTGTTATAAGGAACACTTTCTTCTAGCAGTCACCTAAATATGTATTGTTTCTTTTAATCTTTATACCTGTGTTCATAATATGCCCACATTCTAAAATTGAATACTCAACTGCCTTTTCAAACACAACTTGTGCTTCCTCCCACTTGTCCTACCCTTATCAAAGCAGTTGTCACAATGTTACTAGACTGTCATCTCTAGGAAGGCAAAGTGCTGTTGGGTATCTTGCTCTGAGATGAGTCATCAAAGCCAGCACAGTGATTTATGCCATAGGACATGGCATCTGATTTTGTATAACTTGTGCACCCAGGACACTTAAAATATTTATTGAAAAAAACTTCCGTGTACAGTATCTCTATTTCTTAATCCCTCTCCATTAGTTTATATGTTCTTTTATTTATCTCTAATTTATTTTTAAATGATTAATTTTTGTTTGTT